GGCGCGGCCGCGGGGAGCCTGAACCCGAATCAGCATCTTCCTAGCTGTTAAAAACACAGGCCACGATGTCACCCTTAGTGCCACTTTCGGATACTGCACCCGGTCGAGGGGGGTTGTTTGAGCTTGCTCAGTGTGATGAAGACAATGGCACAAATAAATACGCGCTGCGGCCCGCGAGGCGGCGGCAGGGCCCGGGCCGCCGCGGCCCTCCCGGGCTCTATTTGGTTTATGCTACAGTACTAATACTCCAAGTCTGACAAAACGACGACGACAACGAAAGGAAAAGAGAAAAACAACAACAAAAACAACCCCAAACACATGAGACTTATCAGTAACACCTTAGCATTATTCAAATGTGCTAAATCAGTCACAGCTCAATTTCAGTCCTTTTTTTTTTTTTTCCTCCATATAGGTTTACACAAAAATAATCAGAAAACAGATTAAATCTCAAGATATTTTTAATAAGTGCTCAGTAAAGAATTGTGTGAGGACGTGGGAGGAGCGCGGGGAGGGGACCGGGCCGCCCGCTGCGGCGGCGCCTGGGGGCTCCCCCAGTGCCTTCCCAGGGAGCGCGGGTCGATCCCGCGCCGAGGGGGGACGCGGGGACCGGGGGGACATTCAGGGATACAGCAGAGAAGCCACAGGTGGTGTCTGGGGACGGGCGCCGGCAGCCAGGGCCACGCGGACAGAGCAGCAGGGAACAACGTGGGCAAAGCTAAGAGGCCCCTTCCCGGGCCCGCGTTTTCCTTGGGGCTCCCCTCCCTACTTAGGGAATAACGGGAGCCGGGATGGGCGCTCCTAAACGCCCGGGGTCCGACGTGGAGGCAGTTATTGCTCTTGGGCTTCGGCACCGCGCCAGCGCCGAACGCGGGGCCGGGGCGCCAGGACACTTCAACCCCACGTAAGCAAAACAGGTTTCGGTTTTGTCTTTTTTCTTTCTTTTTTCTTTTTAATGGAACCCAGCCCTTAAGGCGACAAGTGACTACACAAGGCAAACAAATACATAGCCGAGCCTTAAAGCCAGGAAAACAAACTGGAAACTTTGCTATCAGCCTTCAAACATTTTTCTTCCTTTTCTAATATAAAACAAAAGTTTCTTCCACCCTAGGCTTTTCAGTGCCGTTATCCAGTTTGTTCAACACTTTAAAACTCCAGAACGCCTCAGCTCTCTTCCCCGGGAGAGCTGGAGGCAATTCCAACTTTTGGCAAGCAGTTGGGAGACTCAAAAGAATTTAAAATAGGAACATAGGAGGACTAGGTGTAGGACACATCTGTAAACATGTTATACATTTGAAGTTACACACACCTGTAAAGGTGATACAGTTTATAGGTGAAACAGAACTATTTGCGACTGGCCAACCACAAATTTCTGAACCTGGACTGATACAATAAATTATTACTATATATATGCAGATGTATATGTACATATACAAATGTATTTATATATATACATACACATATATATAGTATTTTATACATAAAGTGGAGTAGGCAATCCATAGCAAAACTTTTAAAACTAAGCATTGCAGAAAGCAAGCAATCTTAAAAAAAAAAAAAAAAAAAAAAAAAAAAAAAAAAAATCAAAAAAAAGTTTTTTTTTCCCCAAAAAACACCGCTTCATTCAGGAACAAACTTGCTAAAAGAATAAAAGCATTTAAAAAAAAAAAAAAAGCATGCTGCATACTCCTAATTAACAGAAGAGTGGATACATAAGCATAAGGGATATGCAAAAGTTTTGGGCTTATCTGCTTCTTGAAATGCCCCATAGGATCCAGTCTGACTTCAGGATACACCAGCTGCTGCTGACCTGGATGCCGACACACACGAGCCTGGATTCAGCTGCAAACGCCCACGGATGTTTTTGAGGACTGGGTACATAAACAGGCCAGATTTTTTTTTGTTTGTTTCACTCAAAATTCATTGCTTTGTCTTTCATTGGACCCCCTGAACTCCGTACGTTTTTTTAAGGAAACAAAACCAAAAAGCTTATCCGATGCCAATAGGATTTCAACGTGCTACACAAGCTGCAGTGGGGCAGAACGGGTTACACAGCTGAAGCCTGGGCTAATTTCACTCTTCTCTTTGCTGGAAAGCTTTCCCTTTTTTTAATTATTATTTTCATGCCTAAGTCCTCCATTTTGCTCTTGTAATAAAATATATTTTTATTAAGAGATAATTAGAAGCAGAGCCCAGAAATACACAGAGTGCATGAAAATATTAAAGAGCATTTCCAATGGACATGTGTGGGTAACTCTGGCCATCAGCTTCCTATAGACAAGTCAAAGAGGATTCAAATTCCCATTTTTTTTGTCTTTTTCTTTTTTTTTTTTTTTCCTTTTTTTTTTTTTTTTCAAATTTTTTCTAGAAAAAACATAATTCATTAAGGGTGCAAGTTAGCAGAATTCAAATTCTCTTCAGTTTTTCAATGAAAATGGGAAAAAAAATCCAGGACGTTTAGTGTCAGAAGACAGACACAGCAATATGAAGCACCTACAGTTGAAAGCGGGAGATTTTTTTTTCCTGCTCCCAGTAATACAACGGCATTAAGCAATGGGAACAGTGGTTTTTTGCTTTTTTTTTTTTTCTCCTCCATATTACATGCCTAAACCAATTGCTTATTTTTGTATGTTCTCTCTTAAAATGAAAGAGCTCTTCAGTTGCAATAGTCCAACGTGTAACCAGAGCCACGTCAACTGTGCGACTTCACCGTGTATCCTAGAACTGCAGTATAACAATTTTTCCCCCAGAAGAATGATGCTTTAAGATAATTATCCCAGCATATGATTGGCTGCTTTACTCCTGGCAAAACACGAGGATTATAATTCTCTGGGGGGAAAAAAAAAAGTAGAGAAAAAAACACCTCTGCAAACTTCAAGGCGTTTCTCCAGCATTCAATGTAAAATAAAACAGAAAAAATGAAGAAAAAACAAAACCAAGGGAAGATGGAAGGGAAAGGGGAGATGAAGGATGGTGAATCATCCTGATTTCCCTATGATTAGTGTATCACTACAGTCACAGAACAAGAAACAGAAACCTTGTCAAGTGGAAATGCCTCTCCAGTGGGTTGCTGTTGCCCGTGTAGACGACAGCAGGAACTTTAGAACTGGGCTTGTAAATCGAGTCTGTATTCGTTAATCACTTGCATTCACTCTTTAAACAAAGAAGAGAAAAAAAAAAAAAGGAAGAAAAAAAAAAAAGAAACAAAAACCAAAAAAAAATTCTATTCAGTACCGGAGATTAAATAATCACGTGTGTAGTCTCGTTGAAATAAATTTTCAGATTCCTTAAGAAGTCTAATTACTTTCAGTTGCCATTTTTAAATAACTATATATATATTTGTATATATTATCCTGTGATTCTAGTTATGGTTCCTCTGCTGCACTGAAGATTTAGAAGGAGCATAAAAGCCTTTTGTCCCCCAGGAACAGCACAAATGCTGCCGAAAGGTTATAACAGGCAGTCTTGTCTTGCTACCTTCATTGATCCGGGCGATCCATGGCTTCATCGTAAGTGATTATCCTTTTGGGATCTGGAAAGGAAGCAAAAACCCAAGTCTTCAACATGTTACTTTCAGATGCGGAGATGTGCAGCAACGCTACCCCAGGAAATGCAGGTAAGGGCCCAAGCTGACCCTTGCAGCTCTCCATGCTCTATCTGTGGAAAAGCACTGAAGTCTCTACTCCGCATCCTTCCCACAAGCTACATCACGTTTTTACAGATGAAGTTTAGAGATATAGCAGAATTTAAACTTTGTCCTTAGATGTGACACCCACTGCCAAAATATAAGACAATTATTGTATCAGAATACACCTATGGAACACAAGTTACATCTGGTTTGACAACCTGTTTGCCTTTTCTCCTTCAGGCATTTCGCATGGAACCTCCAGCATCACAGTAAAGCTCAATCCTGATTTTCAATGATCCAGAGCACAGATAAACCCAAATTAAGTTCCAGGGCAATACAAACAGTTAGGACTGAAGAACCAAACTCGAGCATCTCTGGACCCTGACATTATTCAACGTTCAGTTCTTAACACCTCCAGCCCTGCCCCAACAGAAAGAGCAAGGCAGAGAGACTAGGTATCTTTTTTTCCGGATATCCTTACCTTGCTTCTGCAAATTCCAAACTGATTCCATTTCTGTGGAGGCAAAAGGAAAAAACTGCCATTAGAGACAACTCAAAACACGCTTTTGTTTTCAGGCAACAGCATCATACTACTAGAGCTGGGCTACGGTTTCCAGACAAAGCCGATTTCGTTCGGTGCCGCAGCGCAACCCAAATGAAGCTGACAGGTTTGCATCAATTTGACTTGAACGATCCAGCCATAAGAGGCAAAGAGACATCTATAATGTGGTCTAAAAAGTCAGATGACCAAACTGAGCATCAGAAATGTCACTGCCGTTCTCCATTCTCACAAATCCTCGTCTAGCTTTGGGGTCACCTTCGTGCTGCTTTGCAAGCAGGTGCTGCAGCCTCAACAAGTAGCCTGAAGAGGAAAGATTTTTACGGGTTGATACTTGGCTCATGTGAAGTGCTGGGCAGAGGGAGCTGCTCGTGGCTCGCAGCGTGGCCCTGCCGAAATGCCCCGTGCTGCCAACACCGCCCTGAGACCACGGCACAGCTCCTGTCAGCTCACCCAGGAGCAGGGTGCGACGCTCCAGGGAGGCATCTGGCTGCCCGCTCGACTCGCGGCTCCTTCCCAAAGTGTCTCCAAGACACATTTATGGTGGAAAAACAAGCAGTCCCCGCCCATGTGTGAAAGAGTACATGGTTTTGTTTACTTAAGAGATATCTTCGCGTTCTCTTCATTCACATTAATATAAGAAGCAACAGGATGGTATTTCTTTAAAAATACCCCAAATTTATGTCAGAACAGATCTTTAGAGATCCACTCACAATAAATAGATTTAACTACTATTGTGTTGCTACTGTAAAGTGTAGAATATCTATAAAGATGCTAACTGTCTCTCAATCTTGGGGACTGAGTACATAGTTATGGAAAAAGAGCAGTTAAGAGGAGCACAAACTGCAAGAAGGATCTTTATAGTCTCCCTTGTGCCAGAAAGGGGGCAGGAACAAAGAATGCCCACAGATTATTAAGCAACAAGAACGTGTGTGGCAAAGAGCGAAATCAAGCAGTATGTAAACGAACCGGCATGGGAAAGGAGGAAGAGAAAAGCCCCTGCAAAGCTCATGGCCACAGCGTGGTGTGTGCCAAGCGTCACCTCCATCAAGGGCTCGGACGTTCCTGTCCCTTCGGCTGTGCTTAGCCTGCTGCAATCGCGAGCTCCCTGGGGCAGAGAAGGGCACACAAATAAGCATTGCAGCCTTCTCGGTACGTTGAAGCCTTTTGTTAGGGATGCCCTGACAACGTTTTACAAGGCTGTTTTGTTATTTTTCTTATTTTTGTTTTAACACCGGGAATACTTTGCTTGAGGCTCCATAAAGTGCTTAGGGAAAGGAATACTTTGCACTTTCCTTGAGGCTCCATAAAGTGCTTAGGGAAGAGTAGCGAGGCCTCTCAACACTCCTAAAGACAGAAGCAACTTGACAAGAGACTAATCCCCCCTTCACCAAAACACAAATTTCTCAGAAGTAAAATGAACCAGCTACAAAAATCACTTTCCCTAGAACCAGTTTTCCCTTCCCAATGAATCTGGAAGCATCATCTCCTAGTGGCTGAAGAGCATCGTCTATTTTAACAGCTTCCCCAAAGACTGGGGACAACCCCAAAAGCCCCCATCATAGCGCTCAGTAACAAGCTGTTGATCCCTCGGCATTAGAAGAGTGTTAAAGCATCAAATACACATCAAGAATGTTGAAGCTCCGTCCACTATCGTATCTCAACACAAAAGGACAGACGTTCTTTCATTTTGCTTCCATTTGGTCCCAACTCCAACAGATAAAACCTCAAGGTTAATGAAAATTCTGTATTCTGAGTAAAGACAAACCGTTTTTCACATAGGAAAGGTGGAAGAGAGGGATGAATTGCCTAAATAAGTTGACTCACTGGCTAGCAGGCGCTTAGCCCAACAAATCCACAAGAGCAGATGTCATGGGAAACCAATTGCTATATTGACTATTCCTGAATATTGCCTGTCACCAAAAGGTCACACGCAAAGTCCTCCCTTTAGCTGGTCACCACCACTTAAATGAGCGCTGTGTTTAGTGACTGAAACGACTCCATAGAGGAAAAAATATTTTCTTACTCTAACTGCAACACTGAATTAAGAAAGCAATTTTTTTTTCTTTTCCAATCAATCTTAAGATTGAATTTTATCATTTATTCTGCTTTACCAATAAGAAATCCGTGATTTTGCTTGTGCTTCTGGCTTGGGTTACAGGTTACGGTCACCTACAACTGTCCCACAGCTGCTTTTCCTTGGGAAAATCACGGAAATAAGGTCCCTGCGAAAGGCTCTAGTACAAGGAAGACTCACACACACATTCTGGTGAACTTCCTCATAGATTCCTCATAGGTCAATACATTTTACAGGGGGGGATTGGTGGGGAAAAAACCTGTAGCAGTAATTTGTTATGACAGGCACTTCTATGTAAAATTGCCCTTGCTACGAAGGCTGCCCCTGCAAAGAGCCCCTGTTCTGTGCTACAGCGTTAGCTCTTTATTCTTTTAAATCTAATACATAAACTGACAATCCTCCTTACAGCGAAGGGCTAAAGAAATGAGAGGAACCATCCTCATTTGATTTCTCCATCTACCCGCAGGACAAAATAATTAAGTTTGGGGATTGTATAGAAAACAAAACAGATTAAAAATTAAATACTGTGGAGACTCATCATTCTGCTGCTGGACAGTAGTTCCCAACAACTGGAAAGAACAGCGACTAAAAGGAGAATTAAATCCGCTTTGCCCCACAGAAGCAATGGGCTGAGATCTAAATTCCTCCCACTGAAAGAGGTAGAAAGCCAAGGCATTTTTCCCCCCCTCCTGATGTAAAGGATAAAAATTGCTGAATTCACAGCTCTGCTATTTCTTCTGACCCAGTTCACCACCGCGGCGAACGCCACTCCTGGCTGGCCCACGCTGCCTTGCTCTATTTTCCTTGCTGCTCTTCTGCTTCTTCATGCGAAGAGAGATGCGGGCGCAACCGAGAAGGAACAAAGCAGCAGCGCCGGCAGGAACCGAGGGGCAAGAAAGAACAGGGAAACAACTGCAGGTTTCTCCCTTCCACCTATGCGGCCTTTGCTACTGTGCAACGGAACTGGGAGAGCTCGATTGCTCTTGCTTTAGCTAGGGACATTTCCATCATGAAATGCTCCATACAGAACCCCCTGCAAAGCACGGATACCTTCTGTCTGGAAGGCCTGTCTGAAGGCAATGAAATCCTGCACCGCAATTCCCGCACCAAGTGTTTTATCCAACTTTAAAAGGGGGACCAAAGCAACAAAAAATTTACCAATTTCAATGGAAATGCATCTGATTTTCAACAGCCGCCTCTTTTGAGGAAGAGGACCAAGAATCTGTAAGGGCCAGTCTGAATTCAGAGATACAAGGTATGCAGGCAGCAGTGCCATATGCAGGAGGAGGTTCCTGTCCCCAAGTTAGGGACAGGATTTCCTAGCATTCCCTAAAATTCCTTCTTCCTTCCAGTCTCCCATATAAAGCTAATGGCCCTGTCTCCAACCTAGCAGCAGGCCCCCCCATGCTTGCCCAAGTCACATCTACCTTGCTAAATCCAATGTGACACCAGCGAGCGTTTCAAAGCACCATGGCAAACACCGACCCACACGTGCTGCCAGTGAAGACCGCCACGCTACAGGACTGGGATGTACAGCAGGATATACGCGCAGGTCGGAAAATCAGGATGGCCTCTTCTCCAAAAAAGGAAGGCCCCGAGCGTGGACACACATGAAACCATGCAGGAGAGGAGCACGAGCAGGCACAGAGCACGCAGGGTGCACTCAAGCTGCTGCCCTGTTTAGCAGGTGAGGACCTGCACACGCTGAGCGCAGCTGCAGCCGCGCACGGTGCACGGGCCGAAACCCATTCCTCAACGCCAGCACAAAGAGCCTCATTCTTTCACCGCGGGTCGCTTGCATTGAATTACCTCATATTTAGTTCAGGGCAAAAGAATGCACCGGAGCAGGTGCCACCGAACGACGGCAAGCTCCAAGTTCACCCCGGCCTTTCCCCACAATCGCTTCTTTTCATGTGCGTAAGCTCCGCGGCAGGGCGGATTTGCAGATCAAACCTTCGATACTTTGTTCTGTTCAAAACCAAACAGATCGATCTGCAGGGGGAGAAGTTCACTCTCCTCCCGACGCAGAAACCAAACAGGTCGAGGTCCAGCTGCCGGGAAGCCCCAGCTCTCCCGGCCAGCGCGAGGGAACGCGCTCGTGAAGGACAAACCGCCTCCATTCCCACCTCACACAACCGGCGGTTCCTTACTTGGAACTCGGGAAAACAACCCAAGGTAAATCCCATACTGTTCTCTCCAGTGCTGCACTGCTGTCCTGCAAAATTCCCTGTGATGCAGGGACTCCCCTGCCCAGCTCCAGCTATACGGCCAGGAAGATGGGAGAAACAGCAGGCAAAACTCCTCTAAGATCTTCATTTCTTCAAACCCCAGTGGGATTGAAGAAATACAAAAAGGCACCAGCCAGCATCGCCCCCGAAGACCTGCTAAACCCCAGAGCCACCTCCACTTTGCAAACCAACAGCAGCACTCAGACTGCAACGGAGAAAGACACGACCTCAAGCTGCTCGCACACCCTCACCACGTTAATGGCACCAGAGCAATCAGAAAAACCCGTTTTCTTTTGCACCTAAATGCCCCCTGAGGTGGCAGGAGCCTCAGGAACCGTCCTCCCAGGGCAGTGCTCCCAGTGCTCCAAGCAAGAACTCGCTCCCTGCTTACGCCTTGGTAAGGGCAGAGCCAAAAGCAATTATTTCAAGGAGTGCTCCAAGTGTCCATTCTCGCCACTGAGCACAATTAACTCCACTGAACGCAATTAACTCCTGTGTTTAAAAGGACTAACCTCAGCCAGACTTTGAAGTTAACACCTCCTCGCCAGGCCATGGGAAGGGAGTGTTCCTTGCTTTCCTGTTGGGGCTATTGTTTTCCTGGGGTCTGTCCTTTACACAGCCAGGGAGATCGTGGCTGTGTCTGGTTATAAAGCTGCTTTTGCAGCACCAAGCGCAGGTTGACAAAAACAAAGCAAGAAAGTCAAAGTGCTGGAGAAATTTGCAAACTGGTAAATAGAGGCTTGTCTAGGACTCGCCCTCCTAACTAAGCTGGGCTTCCCTCCGTTCCCATTCTCTGAAAAGAAACTGAAATTTAAGAGATTTAAGAATGAAAAGCTAAGATCACTTTAATACTGGAAGATACTGAACAAGGGGTCAGGGAAGACCCACGTAAAACAAGCTAACAAACATTGTTCTTCAAGGAAAATACTAGAGCTTAAGATGTTGACATCTTGAGAGTGTGATGACCTGGAAAATACCTTTTAATAATTTTTAAATGCATGGGCTTACTCTTTCTAAAGGAGCCATCTATGTTCTTGCACTTTAAAGGCTTGGGACAGGTAATTTAAGAACTTGCAGTGGGTCAAAACACAGCAGGTTTTGCCAAAGCCATCAAATACTAACCTCTCTGAGCAGCTATCAGAGCCAGTCTCCCTCAGGAGGGGAAACCAATAAGATGCTGTCCACATACGTACCAGGAACGGTTTTAAAAAGGAGGGAGAATTATCACCTTTTCTCTCAGGATAGGGGGACGCAGGGAGAAGGAAGAGGGAGGAGAATAAAAAAGGAACTGCCCCGAGTTTGTCAGAAGCAGATAAGTTCACACAATGCAAAAAGCAGAGTTCCTGTTACCGCAGAGCTGGGACCTACAACCAAGAACCGCCACGAGACCTCAGAGTCTCTGAGACCGAGACCTGGAGGGAAAGGGAAAAGCAAACAGCTCTGTGGACTTTATCTCTAGGCTCCCAGTTGTAAACGTCTGTATCGAGTTTAAGGCATCTCCGTCTCAAAAAGGAGGGGTAGGGGGGGAAAGGGAGCCAGCTACAAAGAACTCCATAAAAAGAGACACAGCAATAAAATCCATCTGAAAGATTTGTCTACAAAAGGTAGGAGAATTCAATCTGCAGCTTCAAGAAGAGTCGATAAGCAAAGACTCGCCTTGCTGGTCCTGTAATATTTTAGAAAGATGAGGAAAAAACTGCAGGGGGGCTTTAAAACGATCACACCATGAAAAAACAAACAACAACAAAAAAAAATGGAGAGAAACATAGGCATATTTTTTTCTTCTCCCCTTAAACCAGATATCCCAATTTCATGGCCTTATCTGTTATCTGCAAGGGGAGAAGCAGCAATACTGCAGAGGTGGAGGTGTGAGCATGAACTAAGCAGACCCTTCAGTGACAGATTATGGCCCGGGAAAGCTGGAACAAACCTGGGTGTTTAACTCCTTTCAGGTCCAGGCAGCTTAGGAAGACCTGCTCCTTCCACTGCATTTCAAATTCAAAAGAAAACACCCAAGCTAGGCAATATCCTTACCAACATCACTTATTCTTGCTCATAGGAATAGGGAAATTAATATCTTTTAACATAAATTAAACATCTGTTTGAGTAACTTTTTCAAACTGTTCTTACCACTGAAGATATGGATGCCAAGAAAAGCCCCTTTTTAAAACAATCACAACTGCTGCAAGCAACATAACATGTTATATCATCGCATTTAAAAAGAGAAACCCACAGCGAAGAGAACTCCCTTAGGAAGCAAGTTAAGCCATTACCTTTAGTGTGATATATAATAGCAGCCCTCAGGTCAAAAGAACCCCAGCTATCTTTCCTTTCTAGGCCTCTCTGGTACCTCTGTTCTTTGGCGGAGGCTAACAAATTGTTCGTGGGGGAGGCCAGAGGATTCTCTATTTCATAGTCTTTTGAAAGAAACACTAAAGCACCTTGGCTACCGGTGTCTGCCTTTTGTAGGTCACCTGTGTGATGTGACTCCAAGGCTAAGACACCACCCTCAAGAGCAGTCCCAGGCTTAAGAATAGCACTAAGAATTTGAGGGCTAGTCCGTTTATCCAGCTCGTAAGCCTTAGGAAACACAGGTTGTTCAGTTCCTGAGGGAATGATTTCAGCACACTGCGAAACCAAAGCGGCAGGATATTCCCCTTGAAATGTCACTTCCATTAACTGATTATCTGCAGATTTCCCCACAACAGTTTCAGGGCCAGCACTGGGCTCATTTATGAACGACAAGCCCCACTGATTCTGGAAGATATCTCCCAGGTTCTGCTGATTTGTCTGCGATGGGAAATCGACTTGTGCTGTACCCAGAAGCACAGTTTGCATATTTGAAGGGTAGATAAAAAGGCTAGATTTCTTTTGTTCAAGAGCTGTTGAAGTTGTACTGATGTCCTGGGGTACTGACTCAGAAGAGGTTGATGTTACAGTACTAGCAGCAGTTGTGAGCAGTGGCTGGGTCCCTGGAGAATACACGTTGCCATCAGTCCCTGCTAAAATTGGCCCATTTGAAAAGCTAGCAGAAGTAACAGATTTCATAGCAGACATAGGAACTTGGGAGAGTCGACTTGACGTTTGGGCCTGAACTTCCCCAGCAGATGACGAAGACGATGATGAAGACGTGGATGGGGTTTGGGCTGCTTTGTTGAGGTTTTCTTTAACTTTACTTGCATAACTTATTTTAGGAACAATTTTAGCACTGCTATTGTCCACTGGGAAAACCGGGGGTGGTTTAAATAAGGTCCATGAGTCCTCTTTAGACGTAGCAGACGAGGCATGTTTCCCTTTGGGCCGGTCATCGAACTTCTTGCTGCTAATTCCAGGTTTGGCATCAGAGTTTTTTCGCTGCACATCCCCAAGCCCAGGCTTTCCCCGGCCTGCTCCACCAGCCCCAGCCTCGTATTTCCAAACGGGCTTCGTATTTTCAATTCGGGTCCCCTTTTGTTCGCTATAATCAGGCTTGAAACTCTCAAGGTCCTGTTTTAAGGTTGGGGTATTGACCTCCTGTTGCATTATTTTGTCCTGTACTAGGTTCAAGTTCTCACAGCCTTTGGCACTGTTGCGCCTGCCTTTCCGTTTCTTGGGCGTCGTATATCCACTCTCGGAGCCACTGCCATCGTTGTCTGCCCCTTTGCCTACGTAGCCATTAGTGATATAACTGGAATTATTGGTTACCACACCGTTTGGAATAGATACTCCCTCTGGCTTCTCAGAGGACTGGCTTTCCCTAAGTTTATTTTCGTAGGACTTGTCATTCTTTTTGTCCATGCTGTTTTTCTGAATGAAGCTCTTGGGTTTGATTCCGGCTTTCCCCAAAGCACTGGCCTTAACAGTCTGCTTTGGGGTCACATTAGTGTCTGCGAGTTGCTGGCTGCCATTTGGTACCCTGGATCCCGGGTTGGTTGTTTCATCAGAGCACAGGCCCTTTAATGATACTTCTCTTTCTCCTGCATTACCATTTAGTTCTCCATAGCCTAGAAGAAAGCCAAAAACAACAAAAGGCAAGAATTAGAATGTGAAATGTTAAACTTCTGATCGCAAAAAGCTGTAATCAACCGTTAAACATATCCAGTTTCCTCCAGCAGACATTTTAAAATAGGAAAACATCTCTCCTTTGACATATAAAAGCACATTACTGAAAGCTGCAGCACCAAGACTTAAAACACCAGCAGCTGGTGACTCTCCTATACTACTGTTATGTCACTCTGTTGTACATTGTTTACTGTATTTTATAACAAGAAATTAAAGCAGAAGGACATGAGACATTATAAAGAAAACATTCTGTACTGAGGATCATCTGCAAGCCAGAGGACCAGCTAGTAATTCCAGGTCACACGAGAGGAAAATATTAATTCCCGAAGCGCTACAGGATTCACTGCGATGCAGCAGCTCTGTGAACAAGGGCCAACTTCTACCATCGCTGCCGCCTCACAGACCTGCAGCAGCAGCAACCCCCTCCCCAGCTCCTTCCCAAGCAACACGTCTAGCAAAAACGCTCTCCAAAAGGATGCGTGCAACACCAGGGGGAAACGGAGGGGAGGACGGGGCAACACCATTTCTTCACATGCTTTTTAGCTTTAAAAAGGTGGCCATACTGAAGATGAACCTTTGCAAGCGCCTTCCACCACCGCTGGCAACCTGCCTGCTGTGAAACTACCCTCCTCCTGGGGAGACACAGCAAGAGCCTGAGAACCAGGTACTGAAGTGCTTTGCAAGGGCCCCGGCTCCAAA